TAGAAAGCCCCAAAAGAATAATATGTACTATGATATATTATTACTAAATTTGTAATATAAAAAATAGATTTAATTATATATATATATATATTATATATAACAAAAGTTGTAAGATATGGTATATATCTACGAAAATTTAATTGTAGGTTAAATAAATCATAATTAATTTAAAAATTAATATATATATCTGCATATATCATCTATATATTATCCTTTTGGACATTGTATCTTATAGAAATATTTTAAATTTATTTTGCTATTAACAAAAACTGCTATTATATATTATATAATACAAATATCTGCATATATTAACATTAATTTATTTGGACGATTTAAAATTTCTCTTTTTATGAAAAGAAATGTGTTTATGCACTTTTAAGTTTTATTATTAGTTATGTTGAAAAAGTATTGAGATGAACAAAAGGAAAAATAATATTAATGCATAAATTAATATATTTACAAATTTGAAGTACAATTATGAAAATAATGAATAAAAAGTTTAGATACAATAACATAAATAAAAAAAGTATTTGCACGCGATGTAAACAAAAAATATATATAAATAAATTTAATATACTAAATAGTTATCACGTCAATTGTCAATGGACTTAAATAATTTGAAGGTAATTTTCCTATAACAAAAGTTTAATGATAGACATAATTATAAAATATTGAAAATGAAAAAATACATTAATTGATGTTCTCGTATCAAATTTACATTGTATATCGATCAACTCCAAATTCATCAAAGAAATTATCATTAACAATTGACGCGGTAAAAGTTTTACGATTTTTGTAATTGCGGAACTTGGTCCATCCTACATAAAAAGTAATTATACAAAAACTATTTAAAGGCACAAGGCGAAGTATAATCTTCAATATTAGCAGCTTGCAGGCAAACTATAGCTATCTTATACACTTAAAGAATATGGTTGTATCCGAAATGAATCAAAAAGTTATGCGAAAGTTTTAAATTATCAGGCGGTTTAATGTCATATAAGAATAAGTTGAAAATTTTTTGAGCTTATTTTTATATGATATTAAATAGTTAATTTAAATACTTTAAAATTGTCATTTTTAACTAAGAACTTTTTCACATTCTTTAAAAAATATGCATATTGATCAAAATATGTAACTGGTTTTTCTAGATAGATACGATTAGAATTATAATTCTCTTATTATTATTAAATGTTTATTGTAAATGTGGGACACTATACTATAGATATTTACGCGTTTTCACATATTATTTATTTTTCACACAAAATGAATCAGATCGATATATTACATACCAGAAAATGGAAGTAACACTTTACTTGTAATGCCGTTACCATTACTTTTTTTGATAACGAACTGGTAACAGCGTTACCTTTTCTTTTTGATAACTATAACGGTAACGTAGTTACATTTTTTTGTAACAGTAACGAATTTTATCGTTTTAGTTACTTTTATCATTACTTTTTATGTTTGAACCTATTTATGATATATATATATATATATACATAATTTTTTATATATTCATTCTTCAATCTTTGATTGGTATTCATCATTCGTTCTTACTTTGAGATTGTTTTAACCCTTCATGGTCACACTGAGTCAAATTTTTGTGAAAAATTTAATTTTAACACTAAAAGAAAAAAAATCAAACATGTATTATATATAGAATTTAGCGTGAAAGCAATGTATATGTAACTTTCACGCTAAATTCTAATACATGTTTTTTTTTAATGTTAAAATTAAATTTTTCACGAAAATGCCACTGTTCCATTTTCTTAAAAGATGAGATTATATACCGTATTTTTTTTTAAATCATTGCAACTATTACTGTCGATTTGGTAACACTTTAAAGATGGATCGGGTCATTTTAACCCAGAGTAACCATCATGTGGCTTTTTAGAACCATGAAAAGTTAAGTAATATCTTAAGATTCTAATACGACTCTATGATTGGTTTATGACGTCTTAAGAATGTCATAAACAGATCACAAAGCTGTATTAACATAAGAACAAACTTTAGTTACTAATTTTTAAGTTTGTCGAAAGTGATGTCATGTATTATAAAATTTATTGTGAAAAATATCACTTCAGCCGGATTGTATTTCAAAATCGAAATTTTAATCGGTATGATTTGTAAACCTGAATATGTATAAATTCACTCAAATATTATTATGTAACAAAACTCTAGCTTAAACCGAAAAAGCATTTTTCCTTCTTAGTTGTGTTTTCACATATCGGTCTGGTATCATTATTGTTTATTGCTTTTATTAATATTTAAACAAAAAATGTACAATTAAAATTTTTTTAGACTAATCTTGTTTCAGCATTAAAAAAGTAACGGAAAAGTAACGAATTGTTACTTTTTTACGGTAACGAGTAACGGTAACTCATTACTTTTAAAAAGTAACTTTCCATTCCCTGCTACATACATATCTCTTTGTATGAAGCTTTCAACCTTCTAATTAATTTCACAAATCTCACGGATTCTTTTTAATATACTTATTGTGGACTCCTTAATAATATAATACCTCATCATATGTATTAACACCAGCATTTTATAATCTATTTTTGTATTAATACAAACTGGTACTACAATAAACATTATTAGAACAATGGTCTACAATCTTTCATGCGTGGTCAAAAGAATACAAGTTATCCGTCTTCAAAATACATGGACAGATATAGTAACTTTCCTTTTCTATTTCACAATCACTCTTTCTTTCTCTTTTGCAAAAGTTTCTATCAATTAAAATTGACTTATATTCTTTTTACAGTGCATGAAAGAACGGAAAAATGAAAGGATGTCTATCCTTAATCAATGTATATCGATATATGTATGCTAAATCTATTTCGGCAAAACAAATCTAAGACAATTATTTTAATATATAAGGAAATTATAAGGGACGCCACTAATCATAAAGTATGTACATATTAGAACACAAAATTATTGTGTGTGTATATGTATGTGTGAATTATCTTTTCTTCGTTTCATAGTTCATCCTGCAATATTTTCACGATCTATATTTTATTATATATTGTATACAAAAACTAACGTGTATATAGGGTAGCCTATGTAAAGTGTAACAAACCAATAATTCAAAAGATCTAGAAGATATTGAAAGATATTATAGACAAAAATGGAACTGTTTCAAAGGAGACGTATTTTGTTCAAGTTGTTTCAGATAGAGGAGAAAGCACCAAAAAAATATGAATTATCTCCACTTTTTCACACACAATGGAAAAAATTATATTATTATATTTCTTCAAAAAAAAGTGAAAAAATAACTTTCGTATCTTTTCGATACTTCCACGTAGAAAAAAATAACGTGAAAATACATCCCCCGCGAAATCGTTCCCACTTTTATCTGAAACGTTTTTTCCACATATCTTCTCCGTATTTTTCGAATTAGCTTGTTACACTTTACGTGGGCCATTCTATATATGAATCAAACATATATATACACACACAAACAATATAACTCAATTATTAATATATTAAAAGAATCTGATGCCATAAAAAAGTGCAAAATGTGTGCATACGTGGAAAAAGAATTTCCAATACAGAGCAAAGAAAATAAAAGCAATTAAGTATGTGTGATGAATTTAATACTTACACATGTACAAGAATGATGCGTTATAGATTCATCGTGGAAATTTATTATTTAACGTAAAATATATAATTATACAAATGTCTGTGCAAACATATACGCAATTCTCTACTCAAATATTTTTTATCTCTGTGCAAATGAAAATATTTTTAATTAAATATATGTTACGTCAATGTCTACACTTTGCAATATAGAACATAATACATTAAAATATTTTTCCAAAATTTATTCGATATATTGTGCATGTCGATTATATATAGAAATAAGTAATAAAAATACTTTATCAATTTATTTTAGATACATTTACATACCATAATCAGTCAAAATTTTAGACTGTAGTGCCTTGTACATATTCTCTCCCCAAACGCAGTCATGTTAAATATGAACCAAAATTTATATTAATATTTGATTTGTGTTAGTGTTGCAAAAATTTGGTTATTTTTAGATATTAATAACATATAAACAATAAAAATATAAATCTCACAAATCTTGATGGTAATAAAATTTATAGATGTCTAGTGTGATTCATATACTTTTGAAATATAAGATAAAACTCTTATGAGAAACAATCCTTTGTAAATTATTCTTTCCTGAATTCGTTTTTATAATTATTTGTAGATTATAAATGATCAACATATTTCTCAATTATGCAGATGTCTTTTTATAGAATCAAATGACGCTGTTTCATAGAAAAATTATTTTTGGATGAAAAGTCCGAACTCTTAAGAAAATATTTTATTTAAACAATTTTAATTGAACAATAGTTATGAGAAAAATAACTCGAATATCTAAATTAAACTTCTATTAACCCTAGAACGCTATCGATTCGTAAATTTTATGTACAAGTCATAGCAAGCTCATTAAACGGTACCTTCATCAAGCGGTATCTGATTATCAAGAGCTTCAATTTGCTATGCCAAAAGCTAGGATAAATGAAGACAAATGTTTAAAAATTCAATCAGTATTATAATAGAGAGCATGATAAATGATTTCAATTTTTAAGCAATTTTCTGTTATTTATATAAATAAATTTTATTAAGAGTATTTATTACAAGGAGATTTTGGATTATATACTTTCATATCATTTTATGATTGAATTTCACATGCTCATTTTTTTCTTTCAAGTTAATAATTAATTACTTGTGTTTATAAAGGTTTAGATTATACATATTTTATCATTGAAAGTGTGAAATATATAAAAATTTTGTGTCGCATTAAGATGGCCTACTTTCTTATATATAAAATTTATATATAGAAATTCTATATTATTCAGAATCGATAACATTAGGATTAAGACAAATTACAAATAAAGTTGATTAAGAAAAAAAATTCCATGTGAAGCGCGAACGCTGACACCAATATATGCACATATATACAATTACATATACAAGCAGTTAAATATCTGCAGTTATAATTCAACAATTTATATATTTCATTTGTTAAAGAAGTTGTAGTTGCAAGTTACAAGATGATTTACAAATTAAAAAGAATGGTCCCTCTTGACCAGGTACATATGTCGAAGGTATAATATGGTATGTTCCTGCAGGTACATCTTCCAGTTCTAAATAAACAAATCCAGATCTGTAAATAAAAATTAATGATAAAAAGTATAAGAATGTCATTTATACAGATGAAACAATCCAGATAAGATACATACCGAAATGGTCCAGAACTTTTTGTTTTAAATTCAGTTACGGCATTTATATCTTTCAGTACGACGGTGTTAATGTCAAAACCTATTTGATATTCTTTAGGTCCTTTCAAAATAATTAGTAAGTAATTATTATTATTTGCACTTTCGAGTATTATTTGATATCGTGGATTATTTACATAAGTAGGATGATTACCACATCCTCCTGCTGTGATGTTCTTCCATTGACCTGTAATCTATAAAAAAAAAAATCACTTGTTAATATACAGGATGTCCCAAAATTTGCGACTCAAAACATAGTAAAAAAGTTCTCGAAAAATTAAATAAGAAAATTATTTGTAAATTTTTATTTTAGGCGGTAATTGTTTAGATAATAAAGTTGATTTAAATATGACCAGTTACAGACTATGTTTAGATGGTCATCTTCATGAATCACAAATTTCAGCGCGTTCACCAATACAAGTGATCATCTAAAACATAGTCTTAAGTAATAAGTAATTGATCATATTTAAAATTTTATATCTCAGAAAATATTGCTTAAAATAAAAATTGACAAATAAATTTTTACTAATTTTTTTTAAAACTTTCTTGCTATAATATTTTAAGTCACGAATTTTGGGACACTCTGTATAATTAAAAACAAATCTAAAATTAATCTAGAAAGAATATAAAGAAATATTTATTTATCGTAATATTTATCGTATTATTTATAAATAATATACCTCTTTTTCATATTTATAAGGTTGAGGTATTTTCCGTAATATAAATGGACATGTTCCATATGCACGAAGCGTATAATAGATAGTATTTGTTTTCTCATATTGAGATATGACTAAAGTATATTTTGCATCACTTTGCTCTCCGAGTTTGATTTTGCACAAATAATGTGGGCTATTTATTCTCACACCATCGATGTACGGTGGTGGATCATCTAAACAATTTTTGTAAGATTCATTATTAATTAGTTAAAAATAAATATAAAATTAAAAAATTTTGTATACACTTACGTGGATAATATACTCTTTTTCCATCATTACGATAAATTAAAACTGTAATATATTCTTGATTTTGTCGAAAATCTGCTATATCTGTAATATGCCTTGTAAGAAGTATCCAGATAGCACCAGACCCTTTATTTTGAATTTCTAACGAGAATTGTGGATTGTCACCAATATTGTATGCATCTCTCACAGGTCCAATACCAGCTTTCCACATTCTGTAATAAAATGGAATTACTTTGAACATATCACTGCTATAGTATATGAAAAGTAAGAGCATTCTCATAATACTACGGACTTTTATATATACTACTAGACTACTAACTCATATTATATAGATTATAGATGTATCTCTCTCCATCTCACAAGCACATCTCTCGCCGCATGCCAACGTACGTAAGAATTGGAATCACTTTTTCAAAAGAGTTAGCAGTCTAATAATATAGATATATTATAATAATATAGATATATTATAAGTATCTGTGCATAATACACATAATATAGATATAAGAGAAGAGTTACATACTGATGTATGCAATAAGTATAATTAAATAATCCTGGATTCCAGTTTAAATAGAATACGTCAAAGAAACGACATATACTGTCATAATCAATCCAAAAAACACCATTATCAAATACCGAAGCAGATTCTGGATCGTAATTCAATGTCTCCTTCAAATCCTGAGTCCAATGTTTTATATCAAGTTCAGAATAATTGCCTCTCCATCGCAAATGGGACCATGGATTTTTCAATTGTAGTAATCTTTCTCCCTACATGTGCATTAATACAATTTAAGTTAAATACTTCATATTTTCTCTAAATAAATACAAAACATAAATAATCCCTGATGAAAATTTTTCTTATAAATTTTATACGAATATAAAAATATAAAAAATATGAGAAAGAGTTATAAAATTATATAGAAATTCTGAAAAATTATATGAAAAATTCTGAGAAAAATTTTCACCAGGGATAATATGCTTAAAAATAGAAAATCTTACTTACATTTATATTATTAAAATACATTTTTAAAAATATTAAATGGACAATTCTTTTACTTTGCTTACATTAATCTTTCTCACATCAAGAACAGCGTATGCATGACTTGGTACAAGACCAGTACGATCTGCATCTAAATCTGATAACTCTCCTGTGGCTACAGTGACTAACACATCTCCCTTGTGAAGCCGTAATAATAATACATCAAATAAATTATCTTTATTAAAATCTACTTCATTTGGTCTTATCGCCCATCTTTCGGGTATCCAGCCAGTTAAAGCATGTAAATCTATATTCTGTAATAATATATTATAGAATTACATTAATAATAAATATATTTAAAAAATAGAAAAGATTAATGAGATAAATTATAGAAGAATTAGTAATTTAATGTTATCGCAAAGGTATCTAAACTTACACTATTTGATCCAGGAAAATTATAACCACCCATTACTTTCATATAAGCCTTCTCGAGTAAAGAAATCCATAGCTCCCCACGATTGCTAGAGTAGGAACAGAGTAATTGGTTGTATCGGCTTACAGGCAGAAGGTCATCTATTATTACTTTACGTGGAATGCCATTGATGTGTAGTTTCACCATGTATTTTCCTGATATTATATGTTCATCATTTCTAATATATGATAAATATTAAAGTACACGCGCATGTTTTATGTAAGATAAATTCTTAGGAGCTATTAAAAAAATACGTTGACATAAAAAAGGGAAGGGAGTAATTGAAAGTATTACGTAAGTAAACGAAGGAAAGGGAGGAGGTTGAAAGAAACGCGAACGTTTAATTTTGTACCGCTGCTTATTCATTCAAATTACCTGCGCGATTGAATAGAGTCTAAAAGTGCGTTCGTTATTTATCAAATGGAACACACCTTTAGGGTGCAAGGATAAATGATGCTTTCAAGTGCAGTAAACGCAAAAAGGAACACATTCTTTAACTATCATAATATTTTTGTTATCGGCAGTGCTCACATTCTTTTTTTTACTATTAATGGCCTTTTTTTTATTAAAAAAGGGGATGATCTGACTCTCTTTATTTTGTATATTCACTTTAGGGAGGGATCATTCTGTTACTAAAGGTGCGTTCGGGGAGACGGTATTAGCGCGATTTGTGTCAGTCTATCCTTGTTTTACGTCTAATAAACAACGAAGATAGAATGACAGGAGTAGCGCTAATAGCGTCTCCCCGAACACACCATTTATGTTACGAAGGGGGAAGGAGAGGGTCAAAAATTCATAATTTTAACGAACGTATTTTTTAAATGATCCCTTATGTAAAAAATGACTGTGCTGTTCAAATATATCTTTCAATAGCATAATTTTAATTTAAAGAGAACCATCAAGTGTGTAGAATGTTTAAAATTGCATTTTTGTCTTATTAAGAAGTCAACCACGAACAAAAGTATAACTATCAAAGTGCTCGTACAGAATGTACCTCTTTCATGTAGCAGATAGATTATTAATGTTAACATTTCTTATATAGTGTATTATACAGAATATATATAATTTTATAATAACATTTCTATAAAAGCTAATTAAAATAAATTAAATAATTACCAAATGGGTTATATATGGGTTCCTTGGATTTATTTTTGGGATAAATAATGGATGTTATGAGTCTTCGTCCAAATTTTTTTTCATATTGAGCACTCACAGCCAGAGATGCAACAAATGAACAATCAGAAACTACCTAAAATATAAATAAATCAATTAAATATTATTCAAGTGTGCTATAGAATCATTAGTTGCATTGTCTCTAAATTTGACAAACTAATAATACGAAAGATGTTTTTAATATGTTATATATTACTAACAGTCTGTTTTATGCTAAAATAGTCAACATGATGACCAATGACCATTTTAGGATCAGAATATAATTCTTCTGGTCGTCGCCAGCCAGCGAAATCGGGCTTTTGCTTTGGTGCCAACTCTAATAATCCGTCTTTATCAGTGAATGGAAAAGCATATTGGAATTTTTCAGCAAGATCAATACTCATAAATGGTACAAATTCGTTATCATTTATATGAGAGCCATATAGCAGCACTTTCTTTTCTTCTTCAGTATAATTAGTACTACCACCAGTTACTTTGAGATGTCCACTGTTTCCCCGGTGAAATAAGGATCTGGCATCTTTTGTTAAAATTTATTCAATTAATAAATACATTATAGCGCCATGTTTTTCGCTTTTATATATTTTTTTTACTACCTGGAGCAGCTGATGATGCATTTACTGGTTGTTGTGATTGTATTGACTGTTCAGTATCCGGAAAACTGCTTTCTGGTACAGATGGTAATTTAGCAAGACTTTTCATTATACCATTATCTGCAGTAGTTTTGATTCCTTTCAAAGATTCTGCCCGTTCAACAGCAACTCTAATAAGATTTGTCAACTTTGCTTTTACTTCTGTATCAGCAGTTTTCTGTATAATACATATATCATATAAATAAATTTAATAGGACTTTAATAATATGTTATTATATAATTATATTATATATAAATATAAATATGTTATTATATAAGGAAGAATTGTATTAGGTTGTTGTATAATTTCTGTTGTATTTTCGAGTATAATTTAAACCACCAGAACTTTGCAAAGATATTTATTTATAGACATTATTTAATAAAGCGAAGTTTCAGTTTTAAGAATCTGTTTTTTTTTTAATTTGCAGTATGATAATTTTTAAAGGAATAATGAGCAATCAAAGTCAAAATGCTTCTTTTACTTAACCAGCGATAACTTAGTAACAAAAGATCTCAGAACAATTTCAAAAAACAATTTTGTAAGAAAAGCTTCAAACTTTCATGTTAAAAAGTCCAAAACTTTTGCAAATTTTTTTTTAGCACCTGACAAGTGAAAAAATTTCCTATTTTATCCAGCTCATAGATTTTCTATATATAAAAAAGATCAAATTTACAGAAACTCAAAAACCACGATAACTCTTTAAAAGCGGAGATTTTAAACTTTAAAACTCTTTTTAAATTTAAATTTCGTCCATTTTTAACACATTCGATATGGAACTGATTTTGACGTACTTTCTGTTTAGCCGACGGAGGCGTTCAACGGATGTTTGATCATACAGAGTACAAATAGAAGATAATGCGCTAAATGCGGTAGAGATTCCGTTTCATTTTTTTTTGTAGATTATCAAGAGAAAAGATAAGTGGATGGGGAATGATAAATAAAGTTCGTAACTTTTTGTAATACGTATAAAGGCAGATCTCATTTACGTTTAGAATGTTTCAATAAAATACACTAAGAAAGTATATTTTTTATGTCATATAAATTACAGTTTTATAAGTGTATTTTTTATTATAAAATAAATTAAGTCTATTTTTCAGATTTGATAATCAGTCCACAGGGTCTGACGCCAGCTAAACGAAAAATTCAGTGTTGGTCTTCAAGGACCAACGGCGGCCAAACAGAAAATTCAGTGTCGGTCCCTGGAGACCGACACCATCTCGAATGTGTTAACAAAAGGCCTGTTGTTTTTGCCTCAACTTTTGCAGTCCATCTTTCTTCCTCTTCTTTCCTTCCAGAGAAAAAAGGAAGAAAGATGAACTGGTACAAAAGTTCAGCCCAAAAGAACAGGCCTAAAGTTACAACTGCCATTAATAGTAATGCAAAAATACGATAGAAATTATGCAACAATCTTATACTTACTGCATTAAGACCAAGTTCAGCAGCATCAGTATATAATTTTATCGCAATATCCTTTAAACCCGCTTCATCCGCATCTAATGCTTGATTCATAAGAAATTTACATTTCTTCAACTCAGACTGGTGTAAAGGTTCCGGCTTATGACTATTTTGTTCCTCTTCGCGAACTAAGTTTCAAAAATGACATTTTTCTGTTAAAAATATTTGTAATCATGTTTATAGAAAATTTCGTGGTGCACACTTACCAAGACATTGTAACAATGAAATCCTTTCACAATACTCTGCAAGCTTATCTTCATACATGCCATCTGATTGTAATTTAGTAAGAAGTTTAATAGCAATGTCATAATAATATAGAGCCTGTTGATATTGACCATTACTATCAAACTGCACTGCTCTACGAGCAGCAAGTCGTGCATCATCTAAGGTTTGCGTCATTTTAATGAGCAACAAAAAAAAGTCCAGGATCCAGATTTATTCGTCGGTAAATTGCTTCTATAAACTTCTGGATAGATTTTTGACCCATTATAAAGGGTCATAGTACATGCACAGTACCATGCGGTAATTGCATAATCTAACTGTCTAACATATACAAACACAAAAATTGATAAAAAATATACCGATCGATGCGTTTTTTCGTGAAATGAACGAATCTAGCAGAAAAAAGTGTCGCTCCCCTGAACCGAGATATCAATCGTTAAAGTTGACAACTATCAAGGTTACCAAATATATCACTATCATGTACGTGCAGCAGTTTTTCTCGCGCCATCAATGCTACCAACCAACATATACTACATCTTCGCCAAGGGTGCGTTCCAAAACTCGACTCTATCAACTCCGAGTATCTTTTATCCTTGTTCAACTGTCTTCAACATTCGGTAAAGAACAAGGATAAAAGATACTCGGACCATATAAGCGCATAATATTATTTAATATTAAATAATATTTTAGGCATATTCTCAGAATATTAAATATAACATTTTAATATTTTACTAAAATTATATAATATTAAATAATATTCCTGAAATATTAATGGATGGTTATATGTTCACTCCTAATAATATTATATGATTATTAAAAGTAACATTTATTTAATGTTACTGTAATATCGTATAAACATTAGAAAGTATTATAACAGCATTTACTTTAATTTGTAAAACT